GGACGCCCACAGCGCCAGCGCGTCCGCCCCCGCGCATACTGTTTGGACTACCACCCCACAAAATTACCTTGTAGCACCAGGGGAATAAATCCTCGAGGTGGGCACCTGTCCCGTTGTGCCCTTTATCCGCACCGTCCATCGGAGCACAAATATGTCGATAGGCTGGTATGCGAATCCCGCTGGAACGCAGTTTGCACTTACGACAACCTTCCCAATCAATTCCTGGGTTTCGGCCGCCCTGCCCGCTCAGAGCTACTAGTTTTTCAGGCTAGTACTGGAGTCAATGCGCAGCTCAAATGCGCCGACGACAAGTCCCTCCTCTTCGCCCAGAGTATCGGGTCACTGACACTAGGGAGGGCACCCGAACTAACGTTTGGACGGCTCGGTGCCTCCTTTTCGCCACCTCACCGCCTAAACCGTTAGACAATTGACGTGAGCATCTCCAGAACCTAGGCAACCTGGCGGGTGGCATAAGGTTCCCGCCGGACTTCTATACACGGTTTCCAGAGCATTCCGAAGAATCGCCTTCATCCAATCCTGCCCAAAGATCGACGGGCCATAGGCCCAACTACCGGACAAGCTCGGCAATCAGGAGCTTAGCATCGCCTGCTCGCCGCCTTGATGCTAACGACGTGAGTGTCGCCGGGAAACTGTGAGTCCGGGTGGCCGTGTAGCAGAAATCCAGAAATCGCGCCCACCCTCCGGGGAGCGAAGGGGTAGGAGGGAGGTAGGGTGGGAGTGCGTAGACTCACCATGCCGGCGAAGGCCGCGTTGAGCGTGTGGGCGAAGGGGTAGCGCGGGCCGCCGCCGGTCAGCCCCGCGCGGCCCAGCGCCAGCACCGTGAGGGCGCCGCCCGCGCCGCCCATCACCGTCACCGCCATCACGCGCGCCACCGTCTGGCCCTGGCCCGGCGCCGCCACGCCGCCCACGGAGCCGCCGTTGAACGCCAGGAAGCCCGCGATCAGCACCAGCCCGCCCAGCCCCACCAGCTGCAACGCGCAGCCGAGATTCGCCACGCGCGCCCGCACACGCGCACGCTCGCGCGCACGTGCATACTCTCCAACACGTACACACTCATGCACATGTGCACACTCACGCACATTCTATGTTTTCTATGAATACGACTTAACTTCGAGATCTCAATTTTTGGGGATACTTCCTATTAAGTTCGTAACACACCTTTAAATTTTCTCAACAGTGCCTTTTTTGTTTACATTTCATTAAAAAAAGTGCGCTTATAAGTTTGGTAAAAGTTCTATTTTCAATAAAAATAGTTCATTTTTTAAAAATTGAAAAAGTTCAAGCGTTTACAAACCCCTCATATCTTCAATTTTTATAGCTAGAGATTTATTCGTAACATTACTTTATTTCAACTCGTCAATAAAATGATTTAACAATAATATTGATATGTAATCGAAAGACTAATTGCGCAATCGAAATTATTTGTTATACTTAACTGCATTTGCATATTTCGAAAACGGATTTAAAATTTTTTACATTCTCGCTCTTATGAAGGTACTTCGTAAGAAGAGAAAGATAATCGTGCGCCGGAACACGGCGAAATTTCCGCAGAAAACTCTTATTGCCGAGTCCTGAAAACGAGAAACTGGAAGAATGTATCGAAAAATGTATGTTTAATGTTTTACCAAATACTTCCTGTCTTTCGTATTCGCCTGCTTCGAGGAAGGGCCGCATCATGCAATGCCCTTGTGTCTAACGGGTAGCCTATCCAGGCGTCCGCTATTCATAAACACTTGGGATTTTTTCATTTGCTTACACTGGTAACCCCCTTCCCCTGTTTATTTTCATCATTGTAAAGAACAATTTTATCTCTGAAGAAATATATGTAATAAAATTTTAGAATAACTTATCTTTTTCAACTGTTTCGCTTTACTTCGTAAGAAGATAACGTTTTGTTATCTTGGGCCACAAATAGTCGACTATTGGACAGAAAAAACTCCTATTGCCGGTCTCTGGTAACTAAAAAGTAGATAATTCTTGTTCCTATACATAGAGAAATGCTTCACATAACACATAAAGGGAGAATGCGTTTTGTGGATCCATGGTAACAAAAAATCGATTGACGGTAAAACTAATCCGTCTGCCCATTTGTCAAATCAAATCAATCAATAACAAATTTGTTGTTTTTTGTAAAAATTGGAGAGGTCATTTTTGAAAGAAGAAGAAAAAAGGAGGAGGAGAAAAAATAAGGATGAAGAATATTGTGGCGGCGCGAAAACAGAACTCTACAATTGAATAAATATGGAATACGTAGGGATGCACTATTTAATTAAATAGAAATACGTTACTAGTATTAAAAATGCGACGAGACTAAGTTAATAGAAGCTGAATATGTGTTTTGGGAGTAAAGTGCGTTGAGTATTTTGAATGCACTGAATTAAAGAATGTTTTATGTTAATCGCATAGCCCAGCAAATGCGCGAGTGAATCGAGCAACATTGGCCGCATCAAATTGACGATTTTGTTTTGCTAGACTAACCTAATATAGCTACCTTAATAAATACACCGTTCTGAATGAACTGAACCCGCTGCACCACGCATCCAACGGAGGGGCGCGCGCGGTACTCACGGGCGTGGAGTGGCCGGGCGGCGGGTCGGCGTCGCCGCCGCAGCCCTTGGGCGGGAAGCGGCCGGCGCGGGGGCCCAGCAGCGCCGCCGCCACCAGCGAGCACGCGCCGGCCAGCAGGTGCACGGGCCCCGCGCCCGCGAAGTCCCGGTAGCCCGCCGCGCCCAGCCAGCCGCCCTCGCCCCACGCCCAGTGCGCCACCACCGGGTACACCACGCCTGCGCACGCGACACGCGACACCTCCTCCAACACCAATTGCCGGCTCATCGACTCACGTCCCTGCGGAGCCTCTGAGTCGAATTCCGGCGGTGGCAGGATTTTCGACACCAGCTGCATAGCCAGGTCCAATTCAGCCGCTGTCTGGCGGCCGGCTGCTCTAGTCGATAGTTTCCCTTGGTTTCTCCGATCAACACCAGGAGAATGCCGGAGTAGTCCCAGGCATGGAGTGCGCGCCAACTTTCCTTTCTTTATCCTATCCTCACCCCTTCCTTACAGATACTTACACTCACGTACGCTACACTACTACACATGTCGGGAGCTTATCCCGACTGAGGCGGAGCTCCGCTGGTGGGAGATACGTGGATGAGGAAAACCCAGCAAGCTGTCGGATATGTCAGCGCTGAATCTCGCCATCCAGCTGTGAATGAACACTGCCACCTTCCGTGATAAAATCATGCCCCAAAGTTACAGGAGAAAGAATATAGCCGTTGAAGCGCCAGGAAAAAATCGAAATAATTAATCAATCAATTAACCAAATCAAATTTCGAAGTATTAGCATGTATATCAAACGAGTGGTTGAGTGTGTATTTCATGTTTCCGGGCGCGTCAACAATTGTGGACATTAACCCCGTTAGTGGGTTACGTGTTATATTCTGGGAAGTTGCGGTGTGCCTTCCTCAATGGAGCGCGGGAACTTGCCAACAAGTCTGCGAAAGGTTTTCACATGTCCCGCCATCTCCTCCAAAGGACCATCGACTCACCCGACACAAGGTCAAAGCTACTGACATGTGCGGTAATGGAGAGCATGCAAGAGTACGTGGGGATAAGTAAGGGGAGAGGATGGAACAAGCATGCGGAAGGGAAGATGGCGCCCACTCCATTGCCGTTTTTTCGGTACTGCTCCGGCATTCGTCTAGTTTTGATCAGGAGTATCACAAAATCAGGACAGTCGGCCGCCAGAATTCTCCTCCAGACAAGACGGGGTTGGTGGGCGACCTTTATATGGCAACATGGTTAAGGACAGGTATTTTCAGGTCGTGGAATCTTAAAAGAGAATATAAATAGAAAGGTTATTATAAATTAGAGTTGACTTCAGGTGACATTTTTTACCATTTACTCGTCCCTCGCCACAATTTGTTATCGGCTGCTCAAGGTTTGCACTCCGTGTGTACATTATTCATTTCGACGCGACATATGCATTTTAAAACTTCTTTTCAAATCAGGAGATTAGTATTCTCAGATAATACTCGTAAATGGATATGTTGGGCTTGTGACTTTCTGTTCATGCGTGCAAGAAACTTCCTTAGCTGTAAAAAAATATTATATTCTTCATTTGTGCGTGACTTATCTTGTTTGTGTCCCACAAGCTATTCAATTTATTTCAATTTTCTCTGAAGTGATATATTAAACTAGTATACTTGTAAAGCATTTTGAAGCGGTCATGTCACCGGATTTAATATTTTCTGTTGTGATATTTTTAACTTCTCCCTGTTGTAAATCAATTTAACATTCTTTTGTGCGACGTATATTTGCTGTATATTCAAAAAATTTAAAATACTATTAAACTTGTATTAAGCGTCCATTCTTCGTTCTGTGAAAAAGTGGTATTTTAAAAGGCGGGTCGCTTAATAAGGGAATATTTTTTACAAAAAACGTTCATTATTACTCAACGTCAATGATTAGAAAAGCGTCTATTATATTAGGTTAATGAAAAGTTTATATATAAGAGCACGAATTATGAAAAATTAAAACATTTCGACTTTGTGGGCCGTTTTCCCGCGTTGACTAGTGATGTGAGGAGACACAGTGGGAAATGGGGGTCTGATTGTTGCCAAAGGGAAATTTCAGAAGGTACAACGTGTTTTTATTTTTACCCTATTTCCTACTTCATTTCAAAATACAGTAGAACCTCGCTAATCCCAACTGCTTAAATCCAATATTTCGTATAATTTGAACAAAATTTTGGATGGTAGAAAAATTAAAATAAATTTCTTATTAGTGGTGTAAAAAAAGGACTTTATATTTACTGTAGAACTGAACAACTAATTATTATAACGAGTTTTCTAAATGAAACGTTTATTGCACTGGTAACTACCGTGTATATCACGAGTTTACCTGGCAGAAATTTTCACGTAGAAGAACTTGCGAAATCGGTAATCTCCTGTTGCCGCAAGGAACTGAATCTGCTACTGTACTTTCCATTTTCTGGTAATCTTGTGCATGACAGTACATTTTTTCGGCCAATCCGAACAGACCACATTCCCAATTAGTTCGGATGACCGGGGTTCTACTGTGATATCCGCCATCCCATCTTCCCGGCCCCGCCCCGCCCCGCCCCGCCCCACTCACCCGAGATGAGCGCGCTGTAGCAGAGGTAGGCATCGTAGCGGCAGCGCTCGGCCACGGCGCCCGACACGATGGTGGCGGCGGTGGCGGCGAAGGTGAACTGGAAGAACCAGTGCGCCCAGCGGTGCGGGTCGCCGTCGCCGCCCACCCCGTGGTTGAGCCACAGGCAGCCGCCGGCCACCCCCACGCCGCCCAGGTCGGGCCCGTACGCCAGCGCGTACCCCACCAGCCAGAAGGCCAGGCCGCAGATGACTGCGCACACGCAGCGCCCCACACACGTCACTCTCGCGGAGAGGCACGCGCGCGGCTTTTCGCCTTCAATTTTTATGTCGTTTCGCGAAAAAAACTTAAGCAATATTGCTTTATCGCGTTTTTTTCGCGTTATTTCGAAACCGGATTCTTAACCATTCTGTCACATCAATCACTTCAATAGGTAGATATATAAATTCTAAATCAATGGCAATTTTAAAAATACTGTGACATAAATCTGGAGTTCATTTTCACGAAGGAGAATTAATGTACTCCAAAGGCAATAATTGTACAACTCTGTAAAACACACTGTTTACAACATCTGAGTTTATTGCGAAATTTGGAAATTTCATTTTAAAAACATTTTGCTGAGTACAAAGTCCAATTCAATTCTTCCCAAATGCTTGAATGCAAAAACGAATAAAGTTGCATCAATTTAGTGTTTGTCGCTTTTGTCGTTAATACGAAAAAATCGTGCCTCTAGAAAAGCCGAAAAGCCAAAAGCCCGCCAAGGCGGACATTCAATGATGATATGAAACAAAACACAAATAAAATAATTTAATTTATATAATTATTTAAAATTACATTCACAATTTAAAATTAAGAACAAAGAATGTATTTTTATTTACCCGCCAACATCCTGCAAGTCGAACAAGATTGGGTCACATTCAAAATTGCCTGATTCTCAACCTTTCTAATGAGACATCAATCACCTCCATAGGTGGACCAGGATCGTCACGTTCAAAAACAACCATAGTTCTTTATATATTATGACGATGAGTATTAGCTCATATCGTCAATGCACAAGAAAAATGGCGCCTCCAAATTAGCAATTTTTAATGAAGTGAAAAAAAGTTTAGAAAATAATATATTTTACTAGTAAAAATACTTCAAAGTAGTTCACATCACAGCGAGTGTATAAAGTAAAACATTGACTTTGGCAGCGAAGTAAACAGCATCAGCAAGGTTAAAACATTTTGCTGAAAAATGACAATGTATTAGATGCGTAATGTTTCTTGTGCACCGACGCTATGACTTTACCTGTATATTCATGGTAAATGAATAGATGAATATGTGATAATGATGAGGTATGATACAAAAAATGTTGGAGTCATGGTGAAATGGAAATCAGTCGAAAGCTGAGAAAGTGTTGCCCCCAACAAATTGAACGATTTGAATTTTTCAACAGCGCAGAGACTGCTCGTCTTAATGTGTTTCGATGCTGTAGCACTTCATTCTCTCTTTAAATTATTTCTAAAGTACTGTTTCAATTTAGGCAGAAATCAACATTTCTCTAACATTATTTGGTGGTCTAAGCTGGGGCCGTCGGAAATTGTATGCTGCATATTTTTATGTAAATAATTTACTTATAGAGCGAATTAGCGCCTCACAAGAGCGTTTTGATATTAATTTTACATAGCTAACTCATCGCCAACCTTAATAAGAGGGAGGTCACTCCCACTGGAGTCCTCAATTTCAGTTTTTGGATTATGTGGTTGAGGTGATGGAGAAGAAGGGAAAGAGAGGGTTAGAAATTATACCCATCAGGTTAGGTGAAAAAATGTGTTAGTATGATGGTCTGGACCGATCACTGGGTAATCTTGATTGATTTCACCTTTAGACGCGTAGGAATTTTCAAGTAGGAAATGATATGCGGCTGAAGATGACGGTAAGGTTTTGAAAAATGAATAGGAAATATAGAAAATACATGAAACGAAATGGTTCATTGTGGATAGATGAAATTCTTTATGTAATTGACTATTAGAAACTAACCAAGATGATTTTGTTGCAGTATGAAATATTTTGTTTTGAAACATTTAAAGTGGTTTTACTACTGTAGGGGCACCACTTTCCCAAATGGAGCAACCATAATTTAAAGTGGGCGAAGGTTTATATAAAAGCAGCATAATATCAACCTTGATGGCGTATTTTCTGTGTGTTAGGGGATATAACTTGAATAGAGCGTGAACATATGATGCATCTGTTTGCCAATAAGAAGTTGACATCGATAATGTATCTTTCTTACCGGCACAGTGAAATGCGGTTGTTGTTTTTTTTTTATTTTGCCGAAAGCGCAGGATCTGAATTTTCGCTCAAGTTCCTACGTCTCCTATATTTCTGCTTCCGTTGCCATGAATGCCACAGAAAACTGCAGTTCGGACGCTGGCGGAGTTTGAAATCCGCCATTTGAGAAGTGTACGGAACTGATTCAACTGACCTTAACAAACCTTTGCGAATAATTGATAATGCAATTTTTCAAAATTACTAAATTGTAGTTTGAGTTTAGTGTTTCGTTAAAGGAAATACGGTAATATGAAATATATCCACATCGAGATGTTATTTTGTGAAATATGATTTTAGCGGCAATATTACGAAAGCCGTTTGTAAGCTATGTATTGCGCTAATGAAATTTTATTTTAATTTTCCAGATGAAAAATACGCACGAACAGTGTAAGAGACATTTCAATTTTCTTCTGTATGCAATATATTTAGCTTAATATATATAGCGTGGTATTAGGCACGGCAGGCACTACTTCCCTTACATATCCCAATCATTGCTTTCAGCTCTGGTGATCGACGTCTTTTGTACCAACAAAAAAACGTTGCATGGATTTGTTTTCAGAAATAAGTAATATTTTTTTTAACATGAGTTGAATTATAATTGCAGCACACCCATATTTTCAGTCACGAGCCACCTCTGCTTTGGTGTCCCCGAGCGGTATAAATCTCTGGTACTTGACATATTTCTGCCAACTCTTAAAAAGATGTAGGTGATAGCAGTAACCAATATCATTCTTAGTATAAAACGAATCGTAATGCAACTCATGTTATGACATTTTTACACCCGATGGAAAGCTCACCCAACCGCGAAGGCCTTTCATTCTTTGGCGTTTCCTCTACCACGGGTCCTTGCTACTTTAGATAAAACTGACACAGTGTCACGACCACGAAGGTCATAGCACACTTCTGCGTGTGCATCCGACACTTTTGAAAACCATTCACGGCCGCGTTAATAATATGAAACTGAAATTTAATGAGCATTTTGATATTTTAGGTCAAATTTACTTTATTATTTCAAGTTAAATCCCATGTGCAGCATTGTTTTTAAATAATTTGTTTGCAGAAGCTTGGACGATAAAAAACATTGATAAACATAGCATTATTGTTTCTTTCGTTTCAAAAAGTATCCGTTTTATTTCCGTTCATATGACTAATAGATTCATTCTCCAAAAAACAATATTGCTAGGATGTAAACAAGTATAAAATGTATGTTTTTTATTAAAAGTGTCTAAAATGTATTTCAAATCTCATGATGATTACTAATTAAAAATTGAAATGACCTAATTTATGTACGATCATTAAGACGCTGAAGGTCTTGTGTACTCACACATGTCCATAAGGTTCTTCATGATGATGTTGGTGACGTTCTTGGAGCGCACTGCGCCCGCCTCCAAGCACGCGAATCCGCACTGCATCACTGCGCAGAAAACACCACAGACCTGTAGGGGCACTAATCTCCATTGGGCACATTGTTAGAGCACTTGCCTCACACATTGCCTTCTCAATGTATCGCTTTGTTCTATTCGCGTGGCTCTCTTTGGCGCCATTGCGCTTAGCTAAATGCTTGGGTGGCGGTGAATTTAGCTCATAACCAGCATTGCCGTGGCCCTGACTAAGGGTCCTAGGTTTTAAGTCTCGTCGGAGGCGGATTTTAGACTCCGGCTAAATAGTTTGGTCGAATTCAGTCTGTGTCTGGAAGAACATTCTACCGGCCGGCAGCTCTGATTGGACGTACTTTGTCTGGGGAATATCCTATTTAAGGGAGACAGAGAGAGGCACGAGAGAATTAAAGAATTGATGTATACGAAACTATCATAGTAATAATGCTAATGGAAACGTTATCATAGTAATAATTCTGATCATAAGGAACGTTATTGATGTAGTAATATTCTGATTAAAAAATCCCAATAAGATCGAAATATGTATGAATATGCACTTGACGATATTCAGAAAATACTTAATAAGCATAAGATAAGAAATGCACTGAGATATTCATCATGAAGCGTATTAAAATAATGTAACTACATAAACTCAATTTTTTTTCAAATGCAAAATATTTCTGTGCAGTCACGATAGGCATACACTAGTCTATAAATAAAGTGTTGTTAGCAAATTTGATTGAAATATTTTGCAAAAAGGAAATTTTGCCGAGAGTGGTTGGCAATTTTAAATATAGTAGCTCTTCGCATTTATGTGTTACATCTCATTCTAGCCGTAAGTATCACTTCTTCTTCACTGATCACAGAATCTCTGCAAGAAAGTAAGATCCTGGTGAATGAGAACCGCAGATATTGAAATTGAATTGAATTTGCCTTATATTACGTTGCGAGACTCGGGCCCCGCTCTTCCGTCTGACCACGCAAATTTCGCTACGCTCCTTTCACCAACTTGGAGAGAATTTCCTAGGTATTTTTGGGCGAGAAACAGGCGATTTGAATTTAGCTCAGAGGCGTCATTTGAGGATCTTTTACATGCAAGTAAATCTACGAACATGGAACAGCCGGCTTTACTTCCCCTCCGAAGGAAGGCGTACGAAGGATTTTTTCGCCCTTAAAAATCCACGGTTTTGATCGGGTTTGAACGGGTTTGAACCCGCCAACTTGGGTACAACAGTCCAGTACGCTAACCGTTACACCATCGCCGCAGCATAACTTGTTACTTCTTCCTTTACTACACGTTTTTTATTTGTTAGAGAACCTACCATACGCATTAGTATTTGAATAGCATTTTTATATGTATACAAACACTTCATTAATCTCTGGCAAGAAAACGCGATTAAGTAAGCAGATTTCAAGAAGGTAACGATAAGATAAAATTGCTCTCCAATTCACTTCATTGTGCACCTCTACAGGTGTCAGTGACTCCAAGATATCACTAAATATCAAACATTCTATCCTTTACGCCAGATTTAAAATTTACTAACATTGTTGGCGAGCAACCAATGAACAAACGCGATTCTTCAGAAGAAAGTTTCCCAGTGAGAGCTGGAACTTCAGTGTACGGACACCAGTGTACATACAGTCTATTGACAATACGAGTGCATTATATCCAAATTATTCAGTAATTAAAGGGCCCTGCAAAACGGAAATTTAATGAATTATTAAACTGGGAAAAAGAAGCTTGCTCATGTTTGTCATTGACAAGATATTTTTAATCTTCGTATATTCAACCGTGTTGCAAAGCAATAGCCTGCTTTTTTTGCCAACCTTGCAATTACTGAAATAATATACATAATAATAATAATAATATACATAATAATAATAATATACATAATAATAATAATATACATAATAATAATAATATATTATTGAAATATATTATTATAATTAAAATTGGAACAAATAAAGTCTATAAATCGAAAATCATAGCTATGTTACTCCTAAAAAGAAGTGCAAGGCCACATCCTACCAATCAATCTCGAAATGCTTCCCGTGTCAATGCATCACCTAACATTTGTCCTAACTGAAACTTCATCCAGTAACTGAGTGACTTATTGGTGTTAAGGCACAATAACTGTGTGCATGGGGGAAGAGGGAACAAGAAATGAAAAGGAAAGATCGCGCGTTCCGTGGCCCGTTTGTTACGGAACTGCTCCGGCATTAATTTGGAACTGATCAGAGTTACCACGGAAAACTACCGATCAGAGCAGTTGTCCGCCTGGATTCTCCTCCGAACAGCGGCAGAAACCATCCTCGGTCTACCGAAACTGGGCGAATGCGAGGTAACTGTGCCCGCTGCGGTCGCTCGCCGTTTGCGTGGAGAAATTCGCCGGCTGAGCCGCGGCTTTCCTCCCGCGAGGTGGACGCGCGTGCGCCGGGCCGGGCTCATTACGCGGCGGACGCTAGCGAAAAAAAACGCGCGCTTCCTGCACGACAGAGCTGGCGCTGGCGGTGGCGGTGGCGGCGACGGCGACGGCGACTGATGTGGTGGTGGTGGTGGTGGTGAGGTAGAGATGGTGATGAGGATGGTCATGATGGTGGCGGTGGTCACGGGCGTGGCGGCGTTGGTGGTAGCAGCGGTGGCGACCGAGGGGACGGCAGTGGTGTTGGTCGTGGTCGTGGTGGTGGCGGTGGCGGTGGCAGCGTCGATGGTCACGACCGTGGCGGTGGTGATGGTGGTGATGGCAGCGGGGAGTCCGAAAAAAGCGCGTGCACGTAACGGGGGAGGAGCCGCCGCCAGCGCTCCCGGCGGAGGAAGGCCGCAGCAGGGGCCCTCGCGTGGCGGACAGTGGAGCGAGGGAAGGGAAGGGAAGGGAAGGGGGCGAGGAGCGTGGGGGACATCAGGCCCACGTACAGGTGATGTCACGAGAGGAACGCAGCACAATAGCTGTCCCTCCACTAGGCCTTCCACCTCTGCGGTCTGGGTGCGATTTGGGGCCAAAACGTTTGTTGCCAATCCTCCTTCGCAATTCTCCGACATTATTATCGTTATTACAGGTTATTTACATCATCACTCATGGGTTCCAATGATCTTGGTGATTGAAGAAACTAATAAACTTCATTAAAAATAAATAAATATCTTATGCGAATTTGAACATTTCAAATTGCTTCAAAAGATTATTATTACTTGGGATCTTGCGTTCCCAGCTGACGCAAAGTCAAAAGAAGGATGTTTCGCCCGTAGTAACGACACCACCTCTGAGAATGTCGGCCGCAACTGTACGAAAACTTTCGAAGAACAATTTTCACTAACTCCGAAAGAAACATCCATATTGACTCCGGCTGAGAGTGTCTACATTTAATGATTCTTAATTTGCTTATACTATATGCACTAGAGTGTTATCTCGTACTGTTCGAAACATCAAAACAAAACGTGAAAATTTAAGTTTCAGAATCATACAAATAAAGTAGATTTTTTTATCTCTTTTTACTTCTCTGTAGCCTTTAATGCTGAGCAGAAGACATTTGGAATAAAACAGGTTCCTCGGTATATCGTAACCTAAAATTTAAAAATACTATGAAATAACAATAAATTACTTATATCAGGACTCTTTTCATGAATTAAAATCAATTTTTTAATGCACGCCATTTTATCTTCAAACAGGAATGTAAAAAGAGTGTTTTGTTTGAGTGAAGTTATATCACCACTGTTCGCTACAACAAGCCCTTATCTTTCGTGTAATTGTGTGCTTTCCAATGCCTTCTACAACGTGCCAAATCTCACATAAAAGTCGAGAAACAATTTTGGTTCTGTGTAGTTCCAGTGCCTGTACGATTTCGCAACTAAAATTCTTTCTTATTTCTGATGTTTTGATCACTATAAAATACATCTTTGAAGGTATTTGGAGCGTCCGACTCCAGGGATGTCCCTTGCCAGAATACCGTTTCGAAGAGTCGGACGTACGATAAACTCTAAACGACTTGAATGTTCTAAACAAAGCACGTGTACGACCCACGGATTCTGAGTCTGGAAATCAAAACGAAGGCATAATATGATTTTTCTATTCTGCACGTTGTTCCACCCCTTCGAACGATATATTGCGCTTTTAGGCGCTAATTCTCTAGTCATTGGGTAACGCTAATGGAAATAAGCTCAAGCTTGTGAATGTAAACGTTTCAGCGTTCTAAGACATTGTCTAAAGCAAATCGTAGACAAGGGACTAGGGGATTTCACAAACAATATAGAGCAGATAACAGGCCCCCGGTCCATTGAACTCAGGTTAGATACGAGTTCGGCTCGCGGGTTCATGTCGGCTGGACAGGACGTACAGCAAACCGTATTTTCCTATCTCACATAACTGTTCGTCCCGACGAACGGTACCAGACTTGTTGTACTATTTACATCAAATCAATTATGCATGCACCTTTCAAAAATTCGCATTTTGCAGAAGAACGGTTTTAATCTGATTGGAGCTGTTTATTTCGCAGATAGTGTTTGACTTCATATCTTGGAAATATTTAACTCTTGTAAAGAACATTTTTGAAATTTTTACTAATAAAATATACTATTGTCTAAATATTTTTTTCACTTAACTGAAAAATTACGATTTTTCAGATAAATATTTATTTTTATTTTTTTACACACCAACAATATCTGATACTTTGCCAGGCGCTGAAAAACATCGTAATCAGGTCACTCCACTGGCGACAATAGTCAGTTCGAAGGCACGTACATCAACCCAGTTAGTGTGTCGCAGTGTGTCAGTATTAGACAATGTCTCGTTTTGCATATCACACATGACGAATGGCAGGCAAAGCAGAAGGGGAAATCACACGAAGGAAGGCACAAGGAGGATATCCGTCTCTCCGTCGTCATACTCGCGAGTTCAGAAACGAACGCATCGGTCGGGTGGAGAATGCAGACTATCTGGTCCAAATCGACTAACCGATCCGTCTAAGGACGCTAAATTTTGCGTACCCAACACCTCAGTATTTTTTAACACTGATGCAAATACAGTCAATCCGTTTATAGTGAACT